TCTTCTCAGCTGCTGACCATGCTGACTATCCCTAGAGTGACAAGCGGCATAAGCTAGCAGCTCCAACCACATATCTCTCATTAGATCCCATTTAACCTCTGGATTTGATATAGTATTCAAACTTGATGCCAACATGGAGGCATCAAACAACACAGATTTGCTTCTATCACCTTTGACTTTGATGGGAGGAACATCTGTTCTCACTCCAAGCAATGACTCGCAAGCCTTTTTTCTTCTTTCTTTAACATCTACAACACTGGAACTGGAACCAGTAGGCAGGAACGGAGCCAGGAAATTAGGTTGAGGGAGCAAACTTTAAAGTCACAAAATAATATCCTATATTTCATCAATAGAGTAGCCAAAAATTTAAGCCAAGAGAAGCAAATTAACTTTTAATGCCATAAATAGTATATTAGTGTTTATCAAGTGAGGCTCTAAGAAATTAGGAAAAAAACACTCAAAACTACAACGTTTCAATAAAGGATTACAAGAAAAAGGCTAAAATAATCACATTCTTTCTTTAAAAGATAGATTATTTCAGTCTTTTTTAATGAGAATTTATTGAAAAAATGTAAGTTTTAGGAGGTTTTTCTCCTAATTTTTTAGAGGTCTAGTTGATAAACACTCTCTACAATATATTACATTTCACAATAAATTAAAATAACAACGGACATGTTTTGAAGTTACAAATTTGTTATGTAATGGAGGGTATGCACTAAAGGTCTCAACAAACTTTTTTCTTTCAATATAAACAATTAAAAAAGTTTGAAAGAATTTTTTCACATCCTGTAATTTCCAGAAGGAAGAGGTTTTATACAAGAGAGCCAAAGACGATAAAGAAATTTTTAAAAAATTTTGCACATATTTTTCAGTCATCTAACTTCAATTCTCAACAATCTAAAAAAAAAAGAAGGGGGGAGGAATCTAGCAAAGGAAAAAACACAAATATGAAGTTAAAAGAATTCACCTAAAAATAGAAGGAAAATGCTAAAAATGCATGACTTCCATAACCCTAAAAAATTCTTTAAATGCATAATATCTACTCAAAACAAAGATTTAATTTCCAATACAAATATAATGAAGATAATGTTTCGGTTACCCTCGGAGGGTTTGGAGTCTTTACTTAGAAACTATGAGAGAAAAAGAAAAAGTATTTTATAATTTTTATTTAAAGTTTTATGGGGCACCGTAATTGCCATGAAATACTTCTGTTGCTACTGAACTTCTAAACTTAACAGAATGACTAATAGGATTATTGCTAGAAACCTTGGGGACAAAAGGCAGAGCAAAATGAAGGTTAGGACTTAAAATATCTCATGCTAGAAAGATTGAGGACTTACAGAGGAGTTTACCATATTTTTCTCCGAAGTTCAGCGAGGGCAGCTGCGCAATATGTGCCTCCATCCGTGGTGGTAGGCAGTTGCTCCTCGAAAAATTTCATGGCCTCAGCACGAGTGTGCCGGATCCTCATAATATCAATCCTGTCAGACAACAAGGACGGACAAATGACTAGGAGATAACACATGTATCTTGACATGTGCAGACTGAAATCTCTACTTAAATTGACATCATGATGATTTTCGGAGTTGTAGCAGATTTCTGTAACCATGTGCCAGATAAGGATGCTTTGGTCAAATTCAACACTTATACTCCATTCAAGGTCAACCTGACCTATCTTTTCCTTGTATTCATCAAGTACGCCTTTTCCCCTTTGGCCGCAGACCTGCCTAAGAGCTGTCTCAAGACTGCTTGTACTTCTCAGCTCCTGTTCTTTCCTTCGTTCCTCAAATTCCTCAGACTTCTTTTTGACATGGTAAAAAATCAGCTCCCTATATTTCCTAGAGAAATTATTGATTTCTTTATACCGAAATTCTTCAATAATTTTAAGGCTAAGTTTTTCTTTGAGACTGATCCATAGTAGACTATACTGTGCAATAGAATTTGACCACCTCGGCACCTTAAACCACTTAAACCATTCTTCAAAAGAATTCATGAATTGCATAATGCTAGTCATCCTCTTCTTAATCAACCAAACTCTGGTTTGATCCGAGGCAAGGACAATAAGGGCTGCATATATCTCCAGGAAAATAGCAACAACAAGCAAAAGTAAAGTGACCATAAAATCAGTCCTGTTATGCCTGAGCTTAGCATCTAGGATAAAAAATAAAAACACTAGGCAGGTGAGGGAGAAAGTGATGAACCGTCGAACAAAACCCCAGGGAGTATAAATAGCCGGTGCCTTTGTGTACACCAGATCATACATGAATCCTAGTTCAATCTCGATCACTTTGAAAGCGTTTTCATCAGACAGTTCCTTGAACAAGGCTTGGCTTCTGTCCCGGTCATGATAGCTAATTATTAGATCTGCAAACAAACTCTTGAATGTCTGAAATAAGGCATCAGCTTTGACTAAATCATGTTCATTTTCAGGCACTGCTACATCCAAGTTAGCCTTACTTTCCTTCATCTCTATTATTTCCACATGATATCCCTCCGCATCTTTCAAGGTATATTTTTCCATAAGTTTAGTATATCTTAGGTCGGAATCTGGAGCAGGGAGGATACTATCTCGGATTTTGTTCTTGCTTGCTTTCCATAGAGCCAATGTTCTCTCCCCATACTTGATGCAGCCCACCAGTATCATTACAATGGATAGGTAAGAAAGATTAGAACTTGTCCAGGCAAGTAACAAGATGTAAAGTGTAGCAGTTGTCTGGACTATTAGCCCAAAGAGGTGCCTGAGATACAACTCATTATCTTCTAAGGAATAGGCTGTAATTGTATCCGGACCACCTAAATGCAGCAGGAAAAAGGGAGCCCAGAATGCTTTGAGCTCATTAGCCACATTAATATGACCTCCATCATCATATATCTGCCCCAAGTCATTTGATAGGATGCCGAGGGCAATTGTTGCTACAGAGTCAGCCAACATGTAGGCAAACCAAGCAACAAATCTAACCCAAGTTCCACTGCAGTGCTTCCGGTGATTGCCGGATAAAATGAGAACCATTTGAAGTGTAAGGCTGAACAGAGCTGCCCCAATGAGCTCCCATTCCTTCCAGAGTTTCCTAAAGTGAGTAGGAAAAACCTCCATCATCCTTCGCCTTTTCATCAAAATCAGGCCAGAAACAACTGAAAAGGCAAAGAAAAAATTAGACTTGGTCATAAAATTCTTCAAAGACAAATGGTTTTAGATGGGCCAAGGAAGAAGAGAGACCAATGGAAACTAAAAGTTAGCTTGAATCAACTAATTCATCAAAAGATGAGTACTTACTTGTAGGGATCATCAGGAATATTTGTTCTTGATAATGCCAGATGCAACTGAGGGAACAGCTACAAATGATGGGAAATCTCGGGTACTCTTCTACCTTGTAAGGCCTGTTTAACAAACGATTGCCCAAAGAGTTATTCATATCCCAAATATCAGACGCTAAGAACTATTATTGTATTGTTGGCTACTTCAACACTGAAAATCTGAAATACACTGCAGTCAAAAAGCTCCCAATCAAAGGTAGGATAGAGGCAGAATATATATATATATATTTGGCTGAAAATCCCTCTCTCTCTTTCTTTTTTTTTTTAAGAAGGAATGAGATTCGTGGAGTTTGAAGAAGCATCCCATAGGAAGTAATCCCTATTTAACCAAAGGTTTTAGCCACTAAGTCGGGGCATGGCAATTGAAAATCTCCTCTGTTTTCTCATATTGGAAGTCACAAATAAACGGATAGTTAACTTTACCTCCTTGGAAATAATGTATCATTCGAATTTGTTTGAACTGTGTGAATGAAATTGATATAATATTTCCCAGAAGTAATGGTGAGTGCAATTTTATCACAGACCATAGGAAAATGTGTCATTGCACAATGCATACTTAGCTGCTGTTCATTCATTCAAACTGTGAAATGCATAACATAATAGTTGGGACAGCTATAATGATGGCAGCCGTGTTGAATTAAAATAACAATCCATGAATTAAAATGGATCAGTCATTCACAATTTCCACCTACCAGAAATTATCAAAGTATATCAACTAGAACATCTCAATATTTATTAGTCCTCTACTCTTGAAACATAAATTATGAATCTTAGAAAGTCATAATCCATTTATACACAATTTTTATATATATTATTTATACAAAATTTAGATAATTTATCTTTTCAAAATGAATACTAGAGATTTATTTACTTCTTATTTATTTTTTAAATATAATTTTTTATTTAAAAAGTCATAATAAATTTCGATCATTTATAATAAAGAGGTAATTAACATTTCATATAAGTGATGTGTATAAACATTATATAACTAGATACTAACTTAATTTTATATGCTCCACTATTTATTAACCATGACTGGATATAGGAAATGCCTTGGCCATGTCTGCCTCTCCAGGCTGTTGTTAAATCATCTTTAAGTGTCCTCTATGTTTCCATTCCTTCTTCCTCTATGTTTCCATTCCTTCTTACATCGTTAAATTCTGCTGCTTTTCTCTCTCTCTCTCTCTCTATCTCTTTTGTGTTGGCTTTCAGTCTAGGCTTTTATGTGGAAATGTTTATTCTTTTCGCAGTGTTTTGAGATTTCTTCTAAACGTTTGAGCTTGCATTTTGTTACGTTTGATTAATTTCATCAAAAGAAACTAATTAATTTATTTTAATGAATTTTTCTGTGCAGCTAGTTTACATTTTTTTCATAAAGCTGGGAGATGATGTTATAAGATAATTAACTGGTATTAAATTTCAATTCTTTAGGTAAAGATTTTAATTTCTCAAATACTTTGCATAATTTAGTTGCTGATACAAACTGTTTTTTATTCTTTTTTTTTTTCATAACAATTTAGCTCTTCCCTATTTTCCTTCCTTGCAATATGATAAACCAAGCAAAATTGAGAAAATGATAAGTCATTAATGTTGCAATTTTCAAATTTGATAAACTGATTAGTTGCATGTAAGAAAATTTGCTAAAGTGATCAGATATTTCCGTTAGATATGGAAAGGGGAGCAAAAGAACCATTTTTTCTGATTTGGAAATTAATTGATTTTAAATTTAGTCATTAAGCCTTATAATGGTTGGTAGCAACTTAGGAATATTATGTATATAGTAGAGATTTAAACTCTTGGAATACCTACTGAAATTTGTATGAACATCAAAGTCTGGGATTTGGACCAGCAGGTTAATAAACCTTGGCAGTTCTAGAGGAAAAAAAAAAAAGTTTTATCATATTCCTTTGCTCTTTCACATTAGTTACTTCATGTTGTTACTAAAGTTATGATTTTGAAATTTTGTACGGTAGTGTAGCCAGTGAGAAATTCATTATCAAAAACCCAGTTCTTAGAGATGGTGCCATCAGAAGGTAATTCTTGAACCCAACTTTGAATGTTATCCTAACTTTAAGTTAATAGTTGTCACTGATTTAGTTTTGAAGGATAGAGTTTTCTTAATTGAATGAGATTAGGTTTAAGCTATCTGTCAATGAAATATAAAAAAGTTAATTTAGAGGAAATTAGGCACTTGTGTTATTCTCTGCATAAATTTGGTTAAATAATTGTTGGCTTTTCTAAATTCAAAGAGAATGAAGTTGTATCTTTGGCGTCTTTTACTGACAAGTTAGTCGATTGGTGGCATGACTCAAGTGGCTGAGTGGTGGATTGGTAATAGCTCGCCTATACCTGATAGTTTTGCTAGAAGATATCCAGTTATCACTCAATTAATTCGGCAACAAATTCTACAGAAAAGGAGGAAAAGGTTATTTGGCTTTCTGATGTATCAGAAGTGATTTTAATTACTGGTTGTTACAATTTTTTTTGGATCAAACCTCCACACGTGAGCTGGCATGTTATTGTTATTTGGTCCAGTAGCAATTTCCTGCACTATAGCTTCATCATGTTTCAAGGTCTTGCTAGCTTCCTAAGGTGCTCTTTTGGATGTTTAATGTTCTTTTTGTGGAATAGAGGAGAACTGCAAGTATTTGTTTTTTGGCTGTCAGTTTTCAAAGTGTGCAAGAAAAGAAATTGATTGAAACAGTAAATTATTTCTCTGTCCAAAAGTGTGCCATAGGGATTGGAGATAATAAATTATATTAAGTAGCTAAATATAAAGACTGAATACAAAGCTCAGTCTTTATATCTACACCAGGGCATAGCAAGGGATAGTATTACACCTGAAAAAATTTCTCAACTATGCTACATTTGTAATATTCCTGTGTGCATACTGCATACCATTGCTCTCATTAAGAAAGAGCCTTGAATTACTTTCCTAACACAAATAGTAAATTATAAGGGTAAAACCACCTTCTTTTTAAGAGCAGTGACCTCCCTTTACAATGCTTCTGCACCCATCTCCAATCCCTATGGCACACTTTTGGACCCTTAAATGTTAAGGCTTGATTGAAACAGCAAATGATACTTTTTCATCTGTATATGAAGGAATTGATTGAAACAGTAAATTATTTCTCTGTCCATTAATTTCTTTCTGCCTTTTTGTTATTAAGTAGCACTAAGGATTCATTTTCTAGATTAGGTATTTTGCTCCTTTCAGTCATACGAGGCTTTGTGCTGGATGAATCCATTGAGTTCCTTAAATCACTTCAGTTGCAAGTTCAGGTATGTTTTTCCTTGGATTTTATTTTACAATGTATGTTCATAACATCTTGCATTTAATTATGACTTTGTAATGTAAACTAGAAAGAAATTTTGGTTAACCTGCTAGAAGAAGTTTGTTCTTGAAACTTTACAGAAGTTGTACAAAAGACTTAGTGGGGTTTTTTTCTCCAACATGCATTGATAAATGTGATCAACATGTGTATGATTCTCATAACATATATAGCATATGTCGATCACAACCTTGTGCTGCTACCTAGAAAAAACTTATTCCATTTCCAAATTAATGGTTGTTTTTTTGTTCTCTTTAATAGCAGAGGTCTCTTACACATATAAGCTTTATAGGATTCAATTTCAACTCTTCAGAAGTACTGCCCAACAATTTTGAGAGACTATATCAAAGGTATAATCCTACATCTAATGTTATAGCCTTTTACTGACTTTTACTAATGATTAATAGTTAAATTGGTAGACATGTTGGCTTTAGAAATCTATACATATAATAAGACTTGATTTGATTTTGTTTTTGAGCATATTTGAATTCAGGATCATGATTTGGACCCTTGAATTTCATAGTGCATGCATTTAGGATCATAATTCTCAATTCAGCTTTTGTATGGTGTATGTATTTTTGTTGCCTTTTTTTTTGTATCATGGATATTGATATTTCCTTAGTGTAGGAAAAGGAAAGGAAATGTAAAACATACATCTGAATGTTCTCATTTCTTTATGATGGCTGTCATTGAATGATACAGAAAAGTGTAGCAAATAAGTCCTTATGAGCTAGAGTATCAGTGGAGGTAAAATTATAGGAATATGATATGACGTGGAGCCCTATTAGTGATTCCTAATTATATTTTCTACAAAGGTTGATTTAAATGTAACATCATATTTAATTTTAAGTTAAAAAAATTTTTGGGTAGCACAATATAATGATTTTAAAGTCTTTAATTGAAAAGAGCTTAGGATGTTTATTTCCATAATCTTATTGTTTCTTCCAAGTGAAAACTACTGCTATGTATTCTGCCCCTCTTGAAAAGAGCTTAGTGTCTCCTTTTTAACCAACTCCAAATTAGCTTTTGTATAATGTATTTTTCTTTCCATATTTTCTGCATTATGCATATTGAAGTTGGTCCAAAACAGTGCATATTTACAGGTCTAATTTGAAATATCTGACCTAGAGAAGGTATCCATCATTTTTAATGAACTAGGACTCCTTGAAAACTGTGGCAAAAGAGTGCATATTTACATGTCCAAAAAAAGGTTTCTTTGTGCTTAGCTTAGGGGTTTTATTGGTTTTTTTTCTTAAAATATGGGCAGATTTTATAGAGGAGATTAATTTTTGTTCAGCATGAAGCCTTTTAAAGATGTAATGTCTATGACAATTTTTCTACCCTCAAATTCTGTTCTTATTTTTATTTCTCCTCAATTTGATTAGTTTCTTATGTTTATGATATAGTTTGATAAGGAAAGCATGAGGAATTGCAAAAGACACACAAGTTTATGTTGGTGCCTGATCTCCACCTATTCCTGGATGATGATTCTTGATGTTTTCAAATATGGAGTTAGGCGAGCTGATGCCTCTTGTTGCCACTGTTTAGTCTTTGGTCCCATATGTATCCAGATAAAAGTACCTTATTTTGTGTAAGCACCTTATTTTGTGTAAGTGAATTCTTATTTTGATTCTCATTATTATTTTTGGTTAATGTTGTGTGTGTATAGATATTCTCATTATGTGTATGTATACATGTATGTGTGTGTGTGTGTGCCCTGTTGAATTTTTAAAATATATTGGCTGATGCGTTCAATTGTGTTAAGTAATTCTCCTACATGAAACTTCCATTCCAAGCATGTGACTTTTTCTTTAAGAATTGGTTAGATATCAATAACTTCATGTAATAACTTTTAGGGCTTCACTCTTGCTATTTGAATGCATTTAATTTATTCTAAAATTCATTGCAGTGAAAAGCTCTTACTCCTTGAATCCAAAGGCAGCACATGACCCCTTCCTTTTTTTACTTTTATTTCTGGGGGCGGGAGTGGTAAAATACTATGGAATACTTAGGCCTTATAGATTGATTCCATTTCCATTTTTTTTATGCGACAAAGGAAATTAAAGGTGATACAAATAACATGATTGAGAGGTCAAAAAAGATTTCTTCTAATTATGGACATTTATCCAGTAAAATGGGTTCAAAATATCTTGAAAAAACTTCTCTCAAAGGTTTCTTCCCTTCTATGTTCCTTCTTATTTCTGATTATATATCTATCTACTTATTAGCAATCTATATGGTTCAGCACTTTGGAGTCTTAATTAAAGAACCCATTCCATAGGTTGCTCTTATGCTACTTTATGAGTTGTTTTATACTAATTGATATTATACTTGTAGTTTTTTGGTCTTGCTTCCTCTTAGAATAATATTTTTTCTTATTTGTGTAATATCTAATGGTCGTGATTTATTTTGTTAGATTTTTAATAAGTTTTAAATCAATTCCAATTTAGTGATTGCACTCCTTAATATGCTGGTAGCTAGGTTTCAGTTTGAGATTTTAATTGGAAGAAGCTCCTTAATTATTTAAAAAACTTAACTTTTACATCAGAGAAATTTCTTGCTTTATAACTTGAAAAACTCTCCATTTGAACAATTAACGTGTTCACACTCACTCAACATTTAGAACAAAGTGATCCCTGGTGTGATTACCTAAGCATTCTACTGTTTCTTTTATTGGTTGGATAAGAGCAAGCTCTAAATGCATGGATGATTCCTGCATTTTCAAAGTTTCTTGGGCTACTTTGTTTTCGTTTGCATTTGGTTATAGAGGAATGACAAGTTGTAGGGATTCTGATTTTCAAGATTCTAAATGGTTTCCTCTTAATATTGATAAAGCTGTTGAATTTTGGTTGGTTTTTCTTGTTCAGTCCAAGGCATCTAATAGGCAACATGTCCTGTTTTGCTGGGATAAACCTCTTCCGAATTTTGTTAAACTTAATATTGATGGTGCTGCCGTAGGCACACCTAGACCTGCTGTTGCGGGAGGAATCTTTGGGGATCTAATGGCAATTGGATTATGGGGTATGCCAGGCATATAGGCATTATTAATAGCTTAAGCATTGAGCATTATGTGTGCTATGGACTGTATGTAATTCGTCTTGTAAAATTACTTAAATACTCTTATTTTTGTTTTTATATTAGGGACATTTACATAATTTTACAAGACGGATTGAATACAGTCTGTTCTGTAAAATAGTTTTTTGATATATGTATATATATATATATATTGTTTTGAACAATTACAATTTTAGGAAAGGGAGAAGCGAATGAGTCCACCTCATTAACTTTTCACTTCCCAAGACTGATATTTCTCATTTTCATTTAAAATGCTTAAATTATTTCTTTTTCTAATTTATGATATTATAGACCCATTTAATTCTATAAAGCTAATTTCTGGATTTTATATATCCCTTTAATTGAATGAAGGTGTGTATGACACTTTAGATTAAAGTCAGAAATAGGCTTATGCACAAACATATAGTTCTTTGATCATCTTTTATTAAAGAAAATTTATATATGTTAGAGAACATTAAAGAAGCATATAACATTTTTTTTATTATAATTAGTTTTGAGGATAAATAATATTTTACATAAAATAATATTCATAAAAAATAAAAATATAAATTACTATTTCTTTGTAAAATTCCTGTGGCTAACACGGGTATTATCTAGTTATTATTATTAACCTTCAATGATTTGTTGTGCAAAATTACAAATACAATGTTGACTGAGATTACTAATTATGACCCATGAAACACGCCTTGCTGACTTGTTAGGTGTAAATCATGAAATCATAAAATCAAAGTTTAAATCCTAAAACATAACATCTTATTAATCTACAGTAATATCTTAAAATCTAAAATCCTAAATAATGGGTTTTATAGATAAATTGAAAATAAAAAATTTAAATTAAGAAAAGATATAGGAAGAAATCAGACCTGTCTTCACTTTTCCACCGAGGGAATCATTATCCCTTCGAGTCCGAGAATTGGTTAAATTCTACGTAATATAATAGTATAAATAAATCAGTCGGTTTACGGAAGGATCGCATTGCATATGTTTTAATTGGAATAACTTCAAAATAAAAAATTAAAAAAATCTACTAATCTTTTTGTTAAAACACTAAGTTTTTTTTTTTTTTACTACATTACCCTCGACAATACCTCAAATTTTCCACTCTCACCAAACCCTTTAAAAGTTGTAAATGTGTCGCCATTTTCCAACTCTTGAAGTGTTCTTATATGGGTTTCGTTTCCAGTGCTTTGGATAGCAATATCTTATTTGAAGATGTGAATTTTTAATTTTTAATAATTGTAACAAACAAAGTACACAAAATAGGTAGCAACCAAACATTACCCTTTTGCATCACTCACATACTTTTGTGTATATCCATGATTTTAGTCGTTCTTGTGTGCATAACTTGCTAAAAATATCAAAAACATGCTAAAAATCTACAAATTACATGAAGTATGAATATGGTAAGAATGAGAGAAATCTGAATCTTACCTGAACAAGACTTGCAACCAAAACCTCGTCCTATCTTGCTTATAATGAAGTTAGATCCTGACAAAATCAACCACGGAAATGAGAGGATAAGAAGGCTGGGTTTTCATCGGAAGTGAAAATCGGAGGCTATAAAACTGGACAATCTAAAGTAATCTGAATTTGTAATTATAAAGTGAAACAAAGTGGGTAAAGTGGCTTTTTATTAAAAATAATAACAATAATAAATAAAATAAAATAAAAGAAAGTGGATGAAGTCAACATGTCAATTAGAGTCAACATTTCTGCCATTCTTTGCCTCTCCTTTATTCCTTTCTCTGTCTAAATTAAGGTTAAAATATCATTTTAATCCTTCAACTTACCACTTTAACATTAAAATTATGTTAAATTTTAAAAAATATCAAAATTATATTTAAATTTTTATTTTTAATATCAAAATAATCCTTCCCTCAGTTAAATACTAACGTGCTCAAAGTAAATCACTTTCTTTTAATACTAAAAATTGGTGGAACATAAACAAGTGATTTGGCATTCTTCAATTTATGTGAAAATTTTTGAATTAAGTGACATAGACTTAATTGAAATAATTATTGAATAAAATTTTAAAATTACCTTAATGCCCCTTAGTTATCTTCTTCCCTTGGCTTCCAGATCTGGTTTCTCCCTCTTACATTTTCTTTTGGTTAAAACCCCTTTTTGGTCCCTGAACTATTGTACGGACCCCCGATTTGGTCCCTAAACTAAAAAAATCCCTGATTTGGTCCCTACTGTTTACCATTTT